GCTCTAATAAATTTGTTAGTCTCTAAGGTGCCACAAGTACTCCTGTTCTTCTTTTTGCGGATACAGACTAACACGGCTGCTACTCTGAAACTAGTTAACAACGTTACCATTAGGTGACCTAATTTGTTTGCGGCAACCCAAATGAGGGGATTATCTTCTTTGACACTCTTCCTCTGGGGGGACCTTCCCGCTTCCCCCTCTCTCGCACACTTTGTTGGTTTCAGTTGGGATGTCTGAAGCGAAGAGTGGTGTTGGGCTAATTACTGGGGGCACCCATAGAACAAAGATGAGGTACAAGTTAAGGGTTGCAAAATGCTGGATAAATTAAATTAATTTTAACTACCTGGAAAGTTTGACGTGTGCGTAATTCTGTTAATATCCAGGAAAAGAAAAGTCTGACATAGGTGCTAACTTTCTTAAAGGAGTAGTTTTCAATTAATTCATTCTGTACTCAAAGTAAGCACTGCAAATTTGGGGAGGGTGGGTTGTATTTTTTCATAAAAACAAAGTCCGAATCCCTGCTTTAAGTGCAAAATGGAACTCAGCCTTAACTATGGAGTTGGTCAGCACCTCCATAAAAACACTGGCACCCATGCAGTCTCAATGACAGATTCACCTTCCAGGGAGGAAGAAAATTCCACATCCCTATTAGAGAGGGGTGGTGGATAAGAGAATTCTGAGATGTCTTTTAAAGAAGGATAAATTACTTACCTGTAATTCTGTTTCCTTAAATATGCTATTATCATAGGATTCCCACTCTTGGAAAATAAGTAGCTCAAGGGGTGTTTCAAATGGAAGCGAAGAACTACACAGGCAGTAATAAAGGCCATATTAAGTAAGCCAGAATTTAGCTTTATTGATGATTTGTTTGGGGGAAGGAGAGAAACCTCCAGACAAGCATGAAGTATAAAAACAGAAAGACTTGAGGATGAGTTGAACAAAATAGCCTTCTTGGCTAGCTCAGAATAAGAAAGTTCCTGAATTAAATAAAAACTTTAGGAGGTGGGAGAACTTGTGCTCCCTATTTTGAAAAGAGGTTTTGTGGAAACTTAAAATTGAGACCTATTCCTTTTCTGTAGGGGTGAATCATCGCTCGAGTGCATACTTCTGTACACTGCAGCATCGCTGGGGCTGGCAGGAAATGATGCTTATGATATGAGGCAAACATGAGTTAGGCAATAATAGTGTGGAATGCGATAGAAGTCTTCATACACTAAGAATTGATATCCAGTAAACTAAGAGTTGCGTGAACTCTGGTGCTTCTAATCTGTTTCAAGTAGAATTCTTCAGACTTAACTGCATCTGAGAGTGTGGAAGAGGGCTCGCTGGGATAGGCCTGTGGTGTGAACAGTTTGTTGACAGATGATAGGTTTATTAAGGTTGGAACACTAACACCACCTTGTGGATAAAACTTAGACATTGTGATGAATCAGACTTATCCTTGTAAAATCTCCTCTAAGGTGGGTTATTAGTACCTGAAACTTAGCAGCTCTTCGAGCTAAAGACACTGCCACTAGGAATATGATCTGCCATGTAAGAAACTTGAACTTGCAGGTACTGAGTGGCTCAGCAGTTGTCATTAGCTTTGTCAGATGCTCTTTTACCTAGGCTGAAACAGTTACCATATAGACAAGGTGGAGTTGGTCTTTAAATTGTACTCAGAAGTGACAAAATAGCAAAGCAGTCTTTTTGTGTAGAACAAGAAAAGACCTTGTGCACCTGTTTGCACCCCACTGTAAACCTTTACATGCACAGTGGAGGGACTGGTAGCTTGATCTCACTTGTTTGAAGGTCTTTGCCTTTTTATGAGCCAAGTTCTCAGGGACAGAGCTGCTAAGCTGGGGGCAGCGAGGTGCACTGGCTTTGATTGAGGATCTGAGGCTAGACTTTTTGCCTGATAAATTCATCTTTGGGTATCTGCCACAGAATTAGGAACCAGACTGCCTTGGCCCACGTGAGGCTGTTGGGTTATCGGATCCTTCAGTTCCTCCTGAATTCTTTCCAGGACCATTGCTACCTAAGTCACAGGTGGAAAAGCAGCGAGGAGTCTCCTTCCCCAGTGGAGAGAAGTGTTCCATGCTAAAACAGTCTCTTCCTAAAGCCAAGAATAAAAAACTGCACAGACAGCCTAAGAGATCCACCTCTGGTATTCCCACTGGAGGAAGATTTGATCCAGTACTCTCTGATTAAGAATTTACTCATGAGATTATATCATTAATGGACTCCAACTGTCTGCAGCCATGTTCTCCTTATACACGGTGCAGTGGGCTGATTATCCATGTGAGTGAGGGCATCACTCTTTGGATTACCCAGTGTCTGAAAGTCCTTAGGGCACGGGGACTGCCCTCTTCTCCAAAACATTGTGTGTTCTCATTAGCAAAGCTGCCAGGATCCCAGGGTGTAGCGTGTGTCTGTGTGGGCTTTGCAGCGCAGGTGGACACATCTGATCACTGTAATCTGAATGGGCAGCATTTGTAAACCCATTCCTAATTGGATATTTTCCCTGGGCTGCCTGGTGGAACACCTTTTGCATCCGCTGGGGAAGAAGACTTCAATGTGCTTTAAATACAGTACCTAAACTAGGAAGGACCCTGGTAGACGTTCAGGAAAGAGAAGGATCCAGTAAACTATAATAGCTTCACACCAGCCTGTTAATCAGAGAGGCCTAGATGTTGTCTGCAGATGTCCCAGTGATGCTTGCTTCCACAAGGATCTCTTGGGTCAGAGATTTTTCTAATGCATGTGTTGGGTACTCCCAATGCATTTATGGCCATGGGACAACATTCATAGTATGGTTCAAGCTACTCATCACCCTTCCCCTTTGTTCGTTAGCATGAGGGAGAACACTGATCTGTCCACCACATCGACCACTTTCTACTGTCCTCTCCTCAAGGGAGACTGCCCTAGCACAAGTGTTTCCTTAATGCTCTTCCTTCGGTGTACTGGTGTAGGGACGAGGAGTCCTCACTGTCCTCAGGTGTTCTTGGTGAAGCTCGGTCTCCACAGCTTGTGAACTCCAGTGCAAACCACGAGACACACATCTACACCAGTCCGGTTGCAGTAAAAATTAAGCCGCTGGAGTCTGACATATGCATAACAGGCCAAGTGTGGGGTCTACAACCATCAGTGTAGAGTATGTTTGAGGACAGTCTGAGGTGAGCGAGGCTGCCAAGCAGAAGCACCACAGAGACCTTTCATGGGGTTTGTGGTAGCCACGGCAGTGTTTCTATACAGAAAACAGAGAAATACCAGATCATTAACCCACAAAATATCACCCTCTGCAGTAGAACTGATGGGCAAGAAAACTGGTGCCAGTCAGCTTAAAATTCAGGAATAGATGGAAAACCAGTTAAAAGGGACTCTATGATGGTAGCCAGAGGGATCTCCTCAGTTGTCAGCAGTAATGAAGGAACTGACAGTTGGAGGCAACATTGGCCGGAATAGTTAACTGTGGCATTTCCCTGTGTGGCCCCTGCTCTCTGAATGGGTGGCTCATGCCAGTGAGCTCCCAGCATAAACAGGTGTGTTTTAAAGACTATGTTTTTAACCCTTCAATTGTAAAGCCAGTAAGCTTCTGTGTTTGCATTTCTGGCTGGCTAAAACCTGTGAATCTTTGATTGTTCTTGAGATTAGGGTATTGCAGTAGTAGGGAAACAACTAGGTTTCTTTGAGGCCAATATTGCTCTCCCTAACTGTAAAAGCTTGTTGAAAGTCACGTTTTGGTCTCTTGCTGAGTTTGTCTATTATCTATACCTCTATTGTAGGTGTGAAGCTTCAGAGCAGAAGCAGAAGGTGCCCCTGGGAACACTGAAAAAGGACTTCAGATCACAAGAGGAGAAGCAGAAGCAGCTGACGGAGAAAATTCGCCAGCAGCAGGAGAAACTGGAGGCTCTGCAGGTGAATCTAGAGACCTAGAGCTGAGCATGGTAGAGAGAATCTGAGACGCCTCCTTGGGCAAATGAATTTTGCTGAGTTAAATGTCTTTCTCAACCCTCTCTCATTTTATTTGTATTACCGTAGTACTTAGGAGCCCTAGTCAAGGATCAGGACCCCCATGTGCTAGGCTCTGTACAAACCAAACAAAAAGACATTCACTCTCCCAAGGAACTTCCCATCTAAGTGTAAGACAAGACATCAGATAGATGCAGATAGACTAGAGAGTACAAGGAAACAAGGACAATGCTGGTCAGTATGATAGGCAGTAGGCTTAGCATACCAGCAGACTAGCCACTGTAAAGTTTTTTGTAGGCATAATGGAAAAAGAGAATGTTAAGGAGTGTTTTGAAGGAGGTTAGTGCATTCGTTTTGTGGATGTTTATGGGGAGCTTCTCCCACGTGTGAGGGTCAGCAAAGGAGAAAGCATGAAGGTGCTTATTTGAAAATTTAATAATTGGATGATGGAGGCATCATGGAACTGGAGAACATATGCGGCGTAGAGTCCAAATCCTGTTCCTCAAACCTCCTGGGGTTTATTTTAGTAAAAAACGAGCAGCAGTAAAACAAAGTTCAGCTCAGTCTTCAGGCTTCGCTTCTTTTTGGACTCCTCCCTGTGGGCTGAGCAGTCCACAGCCTGTGTCCTCTCTTTATTGGGCCGCTCCACATTTTTTTTATAGTTAGATGGGGTGGTGAGCCACCTGCCTTAGTGATCCAGCAGTACCTGTTTAACATTCCCCGCACGATCACCACCTGCTAACAGGGTGGGTTTCAGGGAAACACTGATATCTTTTAAAATGACCTTGTTCCTGTTGTTTTACCACAGAAAACAACTCCAATCCGGTCCCAGGCTGACCTGAAGAAATTGCCTCTAGAAGTGACCACACGGCCTATCGTGGAGGTAAGTACCACAGCTCCTATACTGCTGCAGACCTGTGTGTTCCAGTACCATACTGAACTATTCTGTGAGCCATTCCTGACTCTTTATTCTTCCTCTATCCTGCGCACTCTCCTCTCTCAGGACTCCCAATCACTGAGCAGACCTCAACGCCCACGATCTCCTCCTTTACCTGATGTAATTAAAAATGCTCCCAGCAGGCCGCCGCCGCCTCCCCCCAAGTCCATCAGCCAACTGCGAAAGGCCCCCCTGGCTCGGCCAGCCATCAGCACCCCCAAACTGGCAAGTGTGCTATCCAGGGAGGAAGCTAGTACTTCCAGGACACAGCAGCATATTGTGACTGCGGGAAAGTCAAACAGCACAGTTGTCAGGACTCCTGCCAAACCCATCCAGGCGGGGAGGCCACCCCCCATGCTTCTGCAGAATTCCATGAGCCAGCGTGAGACTCCCAGCCCCAAAATTGTAAAGACGCCGGTGCTGAAAAAACCTGCAGCACTCAAACCTCCCCAGGTGAGTCTGTTATTTGGTAGGATGGGAGATCATCAAAGCCCTATCCCTCAACCTGGACAAACCCAGTGTTTACCCAGCATCTTCCTCACCTCCAGGTGTGAGAGACCCCTCCCCGCACACTATATTAATTGCATAGGATAGAAGAACCATACTGTGCTAGGGGAGAGCTCAACGATATATCCTCAGTGGGATCACTTGCCCCAGCTGCTTGCTGTGAGACCCCAGTGATTGCCCTGCATGGGGTAGAAACATGGCAACAGGTGCATGGTGATGAAGGATACTGGTGGTATTCGTGGCTATCCCTTGTGACATGGGTGGATATATGTGTGATATGATATGTGCTAGGATCTTCTGTAGAAAGTCTTATGGTCAGATTTTCAAAATGGCTCGGCACCCAGCTGCTCCCATTGTCCTTAGCCGGACCTGCTGGGTGCTGAGCTCTTTTGAAACCCTGGCTACTTTATTTAGGTGGCTGTAGAGGCACTGAGCTCGTGTGAAAGCCTACCCCCTTGAAATGGATGGTTGGTGGCACTCTTGAGATTCAGCCAGAAATCACTTGCTCTCAGCAGGCCTCCAGCATCCGCAAGAGGACATTTAACACCGTGGAGGATGGAGCTGAGGAAGAAGTGGAGCAGAAGAAGGAGAAAACTAAACGGGGCAAATTTGTGGTAGTGAAAGAGGAGAAGAAGGACTCAAACGAGGTGGTGGTTGAGGTGAGGATTGCAGTGGGTTCCCTGTGGCTAGTGAGCTCTCATGATCTTCCTGGGCGATGGCTAACATGAGCTCCTTATGCTTACAGCTCACAGACAGTGCAGGGGAGGAGGAACTAGCAGATCTGAAAAAAGCCCAAAAAGGTGAGGAGCAAACCATTAAACTTGGAGTTACCATGTTTGTGCCAGAAGTGACCATGGTTTGCCCAACCCCAAGGAATTTACATACACTTTAACTGATTGTGGCTAAGGTTGCTTTGACCGTGCTGAAACGTGGCATGCTGGGACCTGTAATCTCTGGGCTGCACATTTATATTAACGGTGAAGGGGGCTTTGGGCCTTATTGCATGAATCAGTGAGCTCTCCTGTTTGTAGTGTACTGCCGCAAAGGGTCAGCAGGGCTGTCTGTGGAGTGTAGCCCCCTCACTCGTTCCCAGGCAGTTCGATCCGTGTCGTGGGTTACAAGAAAAACTTCCACAAAGGGGAGTGACTCATGTCCCATTCCCCGGACACGTGAAGGGTGGTGAAAACTCTAGGTTCTTCTTTGAGTGCCGGTCCCTGTATGTATTCCATATGTGGGTGTGCATGGATGCCATGCGCCTGAGCCTGGAAGCTTTCCTTAGCAGTGTCCGTTGACCCACACATGCGTCATGTGTCCCCTTGTGCTCACAGCCAGGGGTGGCAGGTTTATAGCAATTTTGGTGGTGCCCAGAACCCACACCCCCCGCCCCCAAACTCTGCTCCCCACCTGCCTAAGGCTCTGGGAGGGAGTTTGGGTCGGGGGAGGAGGTCTGGGGTGCAAGCCCTGGGCTGGGGCAGCAAATTGGGGTGCAGGCTCTGGGAGGGAGTTTGGGGGTGGGAGGGGGTGCAGAAGGAGGGTTGCAGGGGTGAGGGCTGTGAGGCTGGGGATGAGGGATTTGGGCTGTGGGAGGGGGCTCAGGGTTAGGGCAGAGGGTTGGGGTGAGGGATGTAGGGTGGGGCTGGGGAAGGGGAGTTTGGGAGGGGTTCAGGGCTAGGGTAGAGGGTAGGGTGCTGGGGATGAGGGGTTTAGGATGTGGGAGGGGCTCAGGGCTAGGGCAGAGGGTAGGGGCGTGGGGGGTGAGGGCTCTGGCTGGGGGTGTGGGCTCTGGGGTAGGGTCGGGGATGAGGAGTTTGGGGTGCAGGCAGGCTGCCCCGGGGCTGGGGCCAGAGAGGAGGATTCCTCCCAACCCTCCCCCCGCTGGCAGCAGTGAGCTCTGGGGGAGGGCCCCCCCGGGCCCCCCCACCCCCCGGCAGCACACTCACCCCGCACCATTGTCACTGCACCCCTTCTCAGGTACAGGAAGCCTCCTCACCTCCCCTGTGGTGGGTGCCTGGGGGGGCTTCCATCACATGTGCACCTCCTCCCCTGCTGCTGCCCCTCACTGGGGGTGAGGGTTGGGGCTTCCTCTTGTCCAGCGTGGGGCAGGAGCAGTGACTGTGGGTAGGGGGGCTGTGCTGGTGGAGGGTCCCACCAGAAAAGGGAAGGGTCCGAGGCGGAAGGGCAGGGTAAGGGCAGCCTGCCCTGCCACTGGTGGATGGGGGTGGGGGCACTAGGATCCTGCGGCAGCAGTTGATTCTCAGCGGAGCAGAGTCAGCTTGGAGCTGCAGGGGAGAGGCAGGGACGCTCTGGGACCCGAGGAGGTGCACAGGGGGAGCCGGGGGAGGCACGGGGGGGGCAGCAGGCGGGGCTGAGGGAGAGTCTCCGCTCCAAACATTGGTGGAGCTAGGCCCGTGGCCCCTGAATATTGGTGAAGCCTGGGCACCATGGGCCCATACGACTCGCCGCCCCTGCTCACAGCTGAGGGGCTAATAGGTTGTGCAGGTTGGTTCCTCTCCAATTCCCTCTTATCACCACATGGCCTGAATAGGAACCCCTGTCCCTTTGCACTTTTAGCTTGACTGAGTGTGTGACCTTCTCCGTTTGCATAGGTAGTTGTATATAGTTGTTGCTAGTGTATATAGTAGTTATAGATGGATTAATTAATTAGTAAGTAAGTTAGCATTAGTTCGGGGACCTTTCTTCCCCTGGGACTATGCCCCGCATTCTGGGGTTTAAGAACTGTGTTTCCTGCCCGTGCTCATTCTCTGTGAGCGACAAGCATCAGAGGTGCCTTTACTGCCTCGACGAGGCCCACGTCGCAGCTTGTTGCTTCATCGGTAAGTCTTTCCCGCCCCACACCTGGGAAGCTCGGGAGCGTCGCCTCCGTAAACTTGGGTTCATTCCCAGCAGAGTACTGAGGAAACATGAGCTTCCCTCTTGAAAAAGCTGTGTGAAATGTGCTTTCAGCCTCTGTCCAAACCCCCTAACGCCTACTCTTCTGTGTCTCAGACAAAGGGCTGCATGTGGAGGTACGAGTGAACAAGGCATGGTTCACAGGCCGTGTCACGGCTGTGGAGATGGGCAAGCATGCCATACGCTGGAAGGTGAAATTCGATTACGTACCTACAGACACCACACCAAGAGATCGCTGGTAATTAACCATTCTCTTTGGCTGCGGGAGCTCTGGAGATGCTCCCCCTTCAACAGGGAGGAGAGGGGGGACCCTGTTATATTTTCACAGGTGCTGAAGAGAGGAATAATCCGTTCTTACGTTGGGAAGATTGTGTACACGGGAATGTTTGGAGAAAGCTGCTCTGTGATTGTGAAGGGAACAGGCATCTGTATGTAGGGGGTGGCTCTGGAAGAAGCGGTGTAATCTAGGAGCTGTTGTCAGAGTGACAGGGTCTGGCTAGTATGTGACTCCCTGCTACCCCCCTAGGGTAGAGAAGGGCAGTGAGGATGTACGGTTGATGAAGCCTCCCTCTCCAGAGCATCAGAGTCCAGACACACAGCAGGAAGAAGAGGAGGTTGTAGCTGAGCCGTCTACCTCAGACTGTGCCCGAATTGAGCCAGACACCACCGGTCCCAGCAGCAACCAGGAGACTGTGGATTTACTAGTCCAGACACTCCGGTGGGTTTATTTGGTGCTCACAGCAGTTACCATTTCTGAACATTTCAATCTCCAAACAAGAATTTAAACGCTACCTGTGGGTGCTTGTTTTCTCTTGGGTAGGAATTGTTTGCGGTACTTCTTACCTCCAAATTTTCCCATCTCCAAGAAGGAGCTGAGTTCCATGAGTTCAGAAGAATTGATGGCTTTTCCTCTGGTGAGTTCAGTGCCTCTCTTTTACTCTAAACTTGTGCTGGGTCTACAAATGGAAAATTTTCAGATCCTGGGTTTCTCTGCTTTGGGAATAGGGGGGTCAAATGGATGTTTCTGGAGTGTTCATCCTCCTGAGGAAATGTGAACACAACGTTTATTTTACCAAATCATCGCTCTTCAGAGAAGATCTGTTGGGATGCCAAATGGTGAAAGATCATGGAGTTCTGCTGATTTCTCCCCCTCCTCATCCCTCTGTCAGCAGATGCAGTGTGAGCCAGCAAGTGCCTCTTTTGATCCACTGAGGGTCATGCTGCCCAGGTTTAGAAATGCTAGGACTTTGTTGTCACAAGGTAACCTTAACTAGCCTGTGAAACAAAGCTTTCAGTTTTATTACTGGATTTTCTCAGGGGTTTTCCATCCATCTTTCTTCTTTTTTTTAATCAGGTAAATGAAGGCACAGTTTACATAATGTAAAACAAATGGGATGGATGGTGATCAGATGCTGATGTCCTTTGCTAGGCAAATCAACTTTATATTAGCTCTGCCTGGATGCTTCTACTAGTAAACCAGGGAGGAAACTACAATGGAACAGTGGGAGCAGGGTGTGTGGGACTTCTATGGCTGCAGAGTGAGGAAGGATACATGTTAGAGTCCATTTCTGAGCTTTGGGCTCTGCTCTTGGAGGAACAGGGCAGCCTGTCTGTCTGCTAACTTTCTATGGTAAAATCCAGAAATGAACAGTGTAACTGGTGACTCTTTTTCTATTGTTTCCCAGGCAGTATCAGAGGTCGGCATCTGGAGTTCCCTTCATTACTATGGGCAGATTGCAGCTGTTGGGGGAATTCTGCTGGGCGTGGGGCTTTGGTGTTGCTTGATCTTGCCACTTGTCACAGCGTATTGACTCACTTTTTTGTCTACCCACAGAAAGAATATTTCAAACAGTACGAGATGGGTCTGCAGAACTTGTGCAATTCCTATCAGACTCGTGCTGACGCCCGGGCCAAAGTCTGTGAGGAAAACCTCCGCAGCTCAGAGAGAAAACTTAAGGAAACAGAGGAGAAACTGCAGAAACTGAGGACTAATATTGTGGCACTTCTGCAGAAAGTGCAGGAGGTGGGTGAGACCCCAGGTGCAGACTAGAATTACTGAGTGCCACTGGATTGGGACCAGCTGAGATGCTGGGGAAAGTTAGGACTTCACTTAGTCCACGACTTGATTACATTCCAGCTTTGTCTTTGGTCCTCAGTAACTCAGTGTTCTGTGTTGCAGGTGGGGTTAAATTCCCAGAGCCTGATTCTTCACTGTCTTATAACTTGTGTGTGGGTCCGTGATGCTGCCCTTTGCGTGAGTGAGTGGGGAGTTCTGGTTTACACCCCAGTGTCCTCAGGTGTCATTGACTATACCAACAGCTAGGCAGAGGAGAAACATCCCTTGGCTTTGGCTTTCTGTGTCACCAGGGACCATGTGTGTAGAAGAAGCTCTGTGCTCTGCTCCTGGGGGGAGAGAGTGCTTCATATGTCTCAGTAGCAATCCTTGGGACTGGTTAAGAAGTGGTGATGTGCTCTGGAGAGAATTTCTGCCCAGTTCTAAAGCAGGACGGTGTCTGATGTGGAAACTTGAGTGTAGGGTTGTAAGGTGGGAGGGGGGAGCATCAGGGCTTTGATAGGCTTTGGGGCCTGGTTGGCTATTAATGAGGCCACAGCTAGGAAAGCTGGTAGTACTACCGGTAAGTATTCATCTGCAGTGTAAACGTGAAGTTCTTCACTCCTGGAATAACAATGAGTCCTGCAGGCTGGGCTTGAGGGGGATTGACAGGAAAGTTATGGCAAGGGTTGCTGCAGAGTCGTCTGAAGAGAGAGATCACAGCACTTCTCTCCCTGCTTCCCATCCCCTGCCCCCGATGTATCTGCCGTAACATCTCTTCTTCTTCAAGTGATGGTCCCGATTGTATTCCACTGAGGGTTTACATATGTGCCATGCATCCGGAGCTAGAGAATTTGAAAGTGGTGGTGTCAGTTGGCCCACGCACGCGCCCTTGCTTTGCCTTATGGTTTTGTCTGAGGTGACAAAGGGCGAGGCAAACTGCCCACATCTTCAGTTCCTTCTCACCGCCACTTGATCTGAGTCATACCTACTTTAATAAAAAAAAAAAAAAAAAAAAAAAAAAGTCAGAGTTTTA